GCACAAGGTTGATAATTTGGAAATTAGCTCCCAGCACACAACCAGAACATTGATCATGCTGTGCCCTCCTGCCTAGTGTGCTCAATTTTTAATAGGTAAGCAGAGGAAATGGCAGGAACATCAGGGATTTCACAGAAAATCAGGAATACAAAGAGAATCTTGTTATGCTGATAACTATCATGCTGCCCAGTACATTGATCACTCTTTCAGTGATGCCCTTACGGGGAAGAGCACTTTGCTTTCTCAAGTTTCATGCACACATACTGTAAGTCTCTTGGTATTGGTCTACTAATGGGGTGGTGAGGTTGCGACCAGCATTCATTGGCATGGACATTTTCCCAACCAACAGTCCAGATCTTTTTTAATCTACTGAAAAAACTTTCAGCAATTTAAAAGGATAAGTTCACCTCTTGAAACATGTTACAACTGTATTAACCACCTCCCGACAGTCATGTAAGGAAATGACAGCAGGTGCAAGGCGGCTCTCTCGTTCTGGGAGGACGTCACATGATGTCCTCCCCAATCTAACTGCGCGCCCCTGGGGGTGTGCAGCACGGCAATTGGTGGTGCCGAAGACGTCGGCTCCGTCATGTGATCAGCTGTGTCCAATCACAGCTGATCACATGTAAATAAGGAAATGTCGGTTATCGGCATTTCTCTCCTCACGAGCTGTCACGCTGACAGCTCAAGAGGAGAGGAGAGCCGGTAATCGTCAGTACTCAGAGGGGACATCTACACTGATCATCAGGGCACTGATGATCAGTGTGCCCTGATGATCAGTGTAGCCCCATCAATGCCACATATCAGTGCCCATCTGAGCTGCCTTTTAGTGGCACCTATTAGTGCCAGTCAGTGCTGCCTATCAGTGCCAGTCAGTTCAGCCTAACAGTCAGTGCCACCTACCAGTGCCAATTAGTGCCAGTCAGTGCTGCCTATCAGTGCCGCCTATCAGTGCCATATATGAGTGCTGCCTTTCAGTGTCCATCAGTGATGCCTGTCAATGCCCATCAGTGCCGCCTATCAGTGCCCATCACTGCAGCCTCATTAGTGCACATCAGTGAAGGAGAAAAATCACATATTTACAAAATGTTATAACAGAAACTAAAAAAAAAAAACTTTTTCTCAAAATTTTCAGTTTTTGTGTTTGTTTAGCAAAAAATAAAAAAACCCAGAGGTGATTAAAAAAGAAAGCTCTGTCTCAAAAAAAATTATAAAAAATTTCATATGGGTACAGTGTTGCATGATCACGCAATTGTCAAAGTGTGACAGCGCTGAAAGCTGAAAATTGGCCTGGGCAGGAAAGGGGTATAAGTGCCCCGTAGCCAAGTAGTTAAGGGTGGAACATGTAACATGTTCCAGCAGCTGCAGCCTCTCCTTGCGCTCCCAGTGATGGCAATAGCCTCACAGTTGCCATTTGAAAACGCATGCAGTTTAAATAGCTATGCAATGCCAGCTGCATTTCTAGAATTGCTCAGCATGTATTGCCTAACAATCTTTAAATACATTGTACACTTTCAAATGTTTTTATTATTTTGTCAAAGTAGTGCAGTGCCAAATAGCAAAAAATGGCCTGGTCATGAAGGGAGTAAACCTTCCGGTAGTGGTTAAAAAATGGCCCTGCGCTGCCATTGGTGCCCAGCGTGCGGCCGCGGCTTCTACTGCGCATGCGCGAGCTCGAACGCCGCGGCCGGCCCGGACCTAGTGCCCGTGTACTAGGTGGAGCAGTGCGCCTGCGCCGGGACCATCGCGGCAGGGATCGAAGAGATCCCTGACATTGCCCCCCCCCTACGGGCAACCTCCGGATGCCCCACCCGATCTCTCCACCACGGTGATCACAAAGAAACCTCCGGACAAGCCTAGGTGCATGGACATTATGGGCTGGTTCCCACGAATTGTCCTCAGGGCCGTAGCCCTTCCACTTGATGAGAAATTGGGTCTGGCCCCCCCTTCGTCGGCACTTCAAGATTGCCTCCACCTCGAATTCTTCTTCCTCTTCAACTGTTACGGCCTCCGGGGGCCTGGATTCTCGTTCCGGGAAGGCATCAGGGACTACTGGTTTTCAACAGGGACACGTGGAAGACAGGGTGGATCTTGAGTGTCTCGGGGAGAACAAGTTCATAGGCCACCTCATTGACCATCCGTTTGATGCAGAAAGGGCCTATAAATTTAGGTCCCAACTTTTTTGACGGGCAGAGCATCCTCAAGTTAGACGTAGCCAGCCAAACCTTCTCTCCGGGCTGCAGAACCAGATCCCCCTCTTCGCTTCCTATTAAAAGCCCTCTTGTAGTCCTCTTGGGACTAATTGCTCAGCATGTATTGCCTAACAATCTTTAAATACATTGTACACTTTCAAATGTTTTTATTATTTTGTCAAAGTAGTGCAGTGCCAAATAGCAAAAAATGGCCTGGTCATGAAGGGAGTAAAACCTTCCGGAGTGGTTAAAATAAAAAATAAAAAAAAAAGTAATTTTGAAATGGATGGCAATGTGAGGGACCGCCGAGCGGCACCACTAGCACTCCACTGGTCAGGCGTGCCCAGAGCGCGGAGTCTAAGCCCCAGGGTACTTGTTCACCAGGGCCCCTGATGGTGGGGATGGACTTGTAGTACCCCGAGACCAGTCATCGCCTCTACTGAGCACACCTGTCAGTGGTAGTGGTGTTCGCCAGGGGCTCCAACCAGGAGAGCCAGATGTGAGGAGGTCGGGTGACCCCATGGGATGGATGGATGGCTGAGCAAGTGCGTAGTCAGACAGGCCGAGTCGGTATTGTAAGGACGGTAAGGTACAAGGGAGCAGGCAGAGAATCGTCGGGTCACACGCCAGGTCAGCAGCAGGAGGTCAGATCTAATAAGGGGCATCCAGGGAGAGAGGTCAGGCAAGCAAGGGTCTGGGGCAGGAGAAATCAGCAAGGTCAAAGGCAATCCGGGTCAATAACTTACACTAGGCACAGGTACAGGAACACAGGAAGCAGGTAAGACCAGAAGGCAACGAAAAGACAGCTCAGGGACCTTTAAATATCCCGCCCTGCGCTGCCATTGGTGCCCAGCGGGCGGCCGCGGCTTCTACTGCGCATGCGCGAGCTCGAACGCCGCGGCCGGCGCCCGGACCCCCGGACCTAGTGCCGTGTACTAGGTGGAGCAGTGCGCCTGCGCCGGGGACCATCGCGGCAGGGATCGAAGAGATCCCTGACATTGCACCCCCCCCCTACGGGCAACCTCCGGATGCCCACCCGATCTCTCCACCACGGGTGATCACAAAGAAACCTCCGGACAAGCCTAGGTGCATGGACATTATGGGCTGGTTCCCACGAATTGTCCCAGAGTCAGGGCCGTAGCCCTTCCACTTGATGAGAAATTGGGGTCTGGCCCCCCCTTCGTCGGCACTTCAAGATTGCCTCCACCTCGAATTCTTCTTCCTCTTCAACTGTTACGGCCTCCGGGGGCCTGGATTCTCGTTCCGGGAAGGCATCAGGGACTACTGGTTTCAAACAGGGACACGTGGAAGAACAGGGTGGATCTTGAGTGTCTCGGGGATAACAAGTTCATAGGCCACCTCATTGACCATCCGTTTTGATGCAGAAAGGGCCTATAAATTTAGGTCCCAACCTTTTTGACGGGCAAGAGCATCCTCAAGTTAGACGTAGCCAGCCCAAACCTTCTCTCCGGGCTGCAGAACCAGATCCCCTCTTCGCTTCCTATTAAAAGCCCTCTTGTAGTCCTCTTGGGCTTGACGGATGGCTTCCTGTAGTTTCCTATTGTTGGAGGTGAAAAAGGTCAGTGCATCCTGTGTCGCTGGAATCGGGCATTCCGGGACCAAGTCCGGAGGAAGACAGGATGAAACCCATAGTTGGCGAAGAAACGGGGACTGCCCAGTTGCTGAATGGCAAGCGTTGTTGTACGCGAATTCTGCCAAAGGGAGGAGTGGCACCCAGTCGTCCTGAGAGAATGATGTGTAGCATCGAAGGTATTGCTCCAGGGTCTGATTGGTCCTTTCGGTCTGGCCATTGGTCTGAGGGTGAAATGCCGAGGAAAGGGACAGCTTGATATCCAGGCTTTGCACAATGCCCTCCAAAACCGCGAGGTAAACTGCATCCCCACGGTCCGAGACGATGTCTTCGGGAACCCCATGCAGTCTAACGATCTCTCGAATGAAGACTTGCGCCGTCTCGGCTGCTGATGGGGTTTTTTCCGTAAAGGGATGAAATGGGCCATCTTGGACAAAGCGGTCCACGACCACGAGAATTGCCGTGTGTGGTTCAGTGAAGGTGGAAGCTCGACTATGAAGTCCATGGAGATTTCTGCCAGGGTCGTTCAGGGATGGGCAATGGACGTAGCAGCCCCCACGCCTTATTCCTTGAAGGCTTGTTCCGCTGGCAGATGGCACAGGAGCCCACGTAGTTCTTACAATCCTTGGCCATGTCCGGCCACCAGAAGGAACGTCGGAGAAGTTCCAGGGTCTTGACCGGCCCAAAATGTCCTGCCAGTGGATGGTCATGGCAATGTCCCAAGACTAAGGTTCGGGCATCCTCCGGCACCACAATCCGGTCCTCCCTCCATAGAGTCCCTTCCTTGTTCTGGAGGGGAGCCCCATCGAAGGTGGACATTGCTGTGGACGCTCTCAGATCTCGGAGTGAAGGTTTGTCTGAAGGGCCAAGAAATTTCCTGCAGGAAGAATAGTGTCGGCACTGGAATCTCCTTGGTGTCCTCGTACATGCGTGACAACGTTCAGGCTTCGTGTCTTTTTTTCGAGCCGGGCCTGTATGTGATGTGGAACTGGAACCTCGAGAAAAACAATGCCCATCTTGCTTGTCGTGGGCGTAGACGTATGGCCGTCCTCAGATATTCCAGGTTCTTGTGGTCCGTGAATATCAGGATGGGGTGGGAGGCACCTTCCAGCAGGTACCTATGCCTGTTCCATTCTTTCTAAAGCGGTTTTGATGATAAGCCATGTAGCTCGCGATCCCCAATGTCGTAGTTCCTCTCCGCAGGGGTAAGTTTCCGTGAAAAGAATGCTTACCTGGGTGAAGTAATTCCTTGGCGCCCTTCCGCTGGGAAAGGATGGATGCCAACCGCTTAAGTTTTTCAGATGCATCTACTTCTAAGATGTAGGGCAGGGAGGCGTCGGGATGACCCAGAATGGGTGCCGAGGTAAATAACCTTTTTAGTGCTTCAAAAGCTTGTGCCCTGTGCCTCGGGCGTCCATCTGAAATCGCGTCCCAAGCTTGGTTAACTGAGTGATGGGGAGACCAGACCCGAGAAGTTCTTGATGAACTTCCGGTAAAAATTTGCGAAACCCAATAAAACGTCTTGGAGACACTTTTCCTGTCCGTGGGTTCAGGCCAATCTAGGATCGCTGAACCTTTCTGAGGGTCCATTGCGACCCCCGTGGTGGAGATGATTCAGACCCAGAAATGTAACGCTAGCCTGTTCAAAGCAGCATTTTCTCTGCTTTAGCGTACAACCCGTGCTGCCCGCAACCGGCCCCAGCAACACCTTTGATACATGTACCCTGTGCTCCCCCAGGGAGGATGAAAAAATCAAAATGTCGTCTAAGTAGACGATGGACAAAGATGTCCAGGAAGTCCCTAAAGATTGTCGTTCACAAAGTGTTGGAAGGTGGCTGGCGCATTGCACAACCCGAAAGGCATGACCAGGTACTCAAAATGGCCGAAACAACGGGGCGGAAGGCCGTCTTCCACTCATCCCCCTCCCTTATGCGAACCAAATTGTAGGCTCCCCTTAAGTCCAACTTGGTAAACACTACTGCAGCTTTTAGGCTCTGGAATAATTCAGGTACCAGTGGTAATGGGTAACGTTTTTTAATGGTGACCCTATTCAGCTCCCGATAGTCAATGCATGGCCTCAAAGTCTTGTCCTTCTTTTCTACAAAGAAGATCCCTGCACCTGCTGGGGAAGTGGAGGGACGGATGAATCCCTTTCGGAGGCTATATCCTCAATATAGTCCTCAGGGCCCCTAATTCTAGCTCAGAAAGGGGAAAAATTCGCCCGAACGGA